ATTACTTACCTAGATTAAAGCTAGAATACGCGAAAATGCTCCATTGGATAAACGTCTCTCCGTTAGTGCATGGGGACGAAATGTTTTAAATGTGGAAGTTTGATTGATGGACTAGGAGGCATTAGTATTCCAGCACCCATGCAAATAAGAATTTGATCTGTGTCATACATCAGCTATTTGACTTTGAAGAGCTCGAAAGGATTTTCATTTACTATTTGACACTCCCTATATATTACCCATAAAATGGCATTTGCCCATTTCCCTAACGTTCTCTTACCGATAGTTCTGTCTGCCCTGTCGGCCAACCGTATCTCTGCACAGAGTATCATCACTGTCTCGATTTCGTGCGATACCGTATAAATCAAAATGTTTGAAGTACAAATCACTAAACGCGTTGGTGGGACGAGTATGCTTGAGGCGGTGGGTCGGTGCACGCGTGTGTATGTGTTATGCTGTCGACTTGAAAGCAAAGATGGTCGGCATTGATATGCACAAGATAAACAGCAGTGAACGTTTGCCTGATCGCGTGAAGAGTTACCAATCCTAAATACAGAACATTACCCCTCCGGTGAGGATGGAAACTGTGATTATCCTCGCCCCCTTATCGGGTTTGGAGCGGACTGGTGTATGGAAGGCTGCTAATTTAATGTAACTTCATTTCAACATAGACCTAATCGTAATCTGCTGTGCTCAGACTACTTGGCACTACTGAATGAAGTTTCAGATCAGTTGCAAACTTTTCTGAACGATTTGGTTGTCAGTGCTGTTGTTCTAGGTTTACGCCTAGTACCGTTAATGTGTATAAGGTTTGTTGCAGGATTAGAATAGTCCAGTTCCGAATTTTGCTACATTGCGCCTGTTGGACTAATCTCGGGTGAGGTTTAAGGAAGCATACGAAAGGTTCGTTTGGAGTTTGTCAAGTTGAGATGTTTGTGATTCCACCACGAAATTTTTCTGAAGTATTGAATGTATACTGCTGTTTGGTGCAACAGTCATTGCAGAAGGAGAATAAACACAGACTGTTCGTTTTTGAACACCGCAGTCTACACAGCATTGGAGATAATCGGATATGTAAAGCCCAGGACAGTTGAATGGCATCCATATATCGCCTTGTTTGGGGTGCGTTACGCGTGCCACCCGATAGGCTTCTTCGTTTTGCGATGTTTACTGAGGCACACACTAGTTGTAAGAAAGCATAGGATGAGAAAACCATTATCTAGCACGAGAGTGTGCTAACCCTTACTAGGAGACTCGCCCATGTCGGTCACATTAGACATAGTATTTGGGAACCTCGTAACCAACCTAATAAATAGCTCGACACACAGGGTGATACAGCTGAATGCTCATGCATCTACTCATTTTCATCCAGTTTTCTTGCTCTCTTTTCCTTTTTTATTGCTGCTGCCCATTTGCTTTTTCGCGCTTTGATTCGCTCTTCCTTCATGGGTTGCCCAAATAGTTAGTCGAGGCACCTTAGTCAAAACTATCGCTCAACAGTGCACACTGAGTAGTTCTATGAACCGAAATTGACTATGATATAGTAAAAATCTCAGAACATATATAGATAGTGTGCAGTATCGTCCAGCAGGTTATTCAGTTAGCTTTTGCCCCGGTGGTGTACTGTCACCGCGATTGACTGCACAGCGACATTGGCTACTTCGTACATCTTCCTCGGTCGGATTTTATTTGTTGTAGGCAGTGAATCGTGATTTGTTTGCTACAAGTGTGGTTTTTGTGTAATGCTGTTCACTCTACGTGCATGGTGTATACTATTGAAGCTGGCAAACGGTAAGCTACCAACGTTCGATCAGTTTCAGTACCCATTGGTCTCCAAAAGTTCTGGATCAATGTTATCCTAACGCGAACAGTTCACTTCACAGAAGTATAATCTCTTAGTTATGTTTGAGTGCAAAGTTGTAAAACAAAGGTGACGGTACAAATCAGCTTTTCGCACATAGTAATCAATATATGAACCCAAATACAGTTTGCTTCATTAATGTTAGCCAACCAAAGGCCGATCAATAGAATACAATGGCGTCTAATAACCGTTTAGATTACGGGTTACTTGTTTATTGATATGCCATGGCGACACACCGTAACGGCTCTTGGCAAGCTTTTGAAATTATTCTGCAAAATATTGTCATTATTGCCAATGCGGCACCTTTTTATGACTGTTAACAATATCTTTCATTCGCAAACTTTGCTCAGGTTTCATGCATGCAACCACTACCTCACTTTTCTTGCACATGTCTATGTCTTGATTCCCGCCCTCCTATTATTTCTGTCGAATAACGCACCGTTGTTGTTTTTGTTGTTTTCTCTGTTTCAGTCTTTCTCTTCTTTGAAACGTTCTTGTTTACGTATCGTGCATTCCTCACTCCGGAAGATCTGATCGAGCGCCTGATTCATCGGTACTTGTTATTCCGAGTTCCGGAGAAGGAGGACGCAGNGACGCAGACGATCCGGACTCATACAACACCACATCCAGCTCCAAAAAGGTGTCCGTCCGATCTAAAGTTTGCATTTCCACCGCTTCTACCCTCGTGACAGTGGTAAGTACGAATTCTACCACAACCACCACCTCCGATTGGAGATCTATGGACAATCAAATTGCGCCCAATTACTTGTGTTTAGTATTAGGAACGCAGGTGGAATTCGTTTTTTGGTGAGTTCATGAGAACCAACTCATTAAAGAGGCTTTAGCATGAGTTAGTCACTCTCACCTAATTGAATCGTTTGGCTTATATTAGTTTAACTGGCGTCACAAGCGCAATCCACATGATTCATTTCATGTCGAGAGGACTATATTTCCAATGTATACTCAGAGCTCATTTCACACAAAGCAAAAGAGTGTGAGGAACAAGCTTGTTTTCAGTGATTCGAATTCATGCCAATATAACACAATATATATCGCATCTCTTAGGAGTAAAAGTGTCTTGGCAAATAAAGCGAAATAGCATGATATCAATGATGTGTGCCCAAAAACGATTAGCGCAGGCTCCTAAACTTCTGTGCCCTCGTCCTCCCATACACCGTATCACGAGTAATCTCGATGGTTGGTTGAGTGAACAAACAATTATGAGGTCATGGGGTATCCGATTTCCGGTCTCATGATGGAATCATTTTCTATGATGTGTGACGTGAAGTGACTATATTTTCCAAGACAATTTGATTCCTAAGTAGTGATATATATTGTGATATATTGGAATGAATGCACATTACTCAAACAAGCGTGTTCGCCACCATGTTGTTTCGTTTGAAATATGCTTAGAACATCAGTGTGATTACGTAGTTTACTGTTAAGGCGGACGACTCTGGGCTGCCTGGAATCCTTACGCTAATACAGGTCAACTTTTACCGACCTGTTACCTCAAACAACGAGTTCGATTGTTTCAAAGCTGTTTCCGTCCTCTCAAACTTACACAGAGAATAGTTTCCCGATAAGATAACATGACTTCACACAGTGACTTTGCTTGATGCGCATTTCACTTCAGATCATCTGTTGTCTTGGTTGATTTCTCCCCCTCCTCCTCAGGTATCCCGGTTAAAATCTGATCTATCTGACCCGATCCGTGAGCGTCTGATGGAATTCAGTCGCTTACTTGCCATGGACAACTATGTCTCACTGAGTCATCTACTCACGGGATCGATTGAAAACCAGTTGTTCGGATCCAGTCGTTTGTCTGTGTCCAGTTCTAACTCAAGTAGTGTCCATCCACCGTCATCTCGCTTGCGCACACATTCCGTGGAGCATGTGGAACCGGACTGTCTTTCAGTCAGTTCACTAGGGTTCTATCGATCACCGATTCCTGACGGCACAACAGAGTCCAACCTGACTGGTGATGCACATGAACCAGTAAATGGCGTGGACTCAGTTCCGCGGGATCCTCCCGCCACACCGTCCACTTCTCCACCGAAACCCCATTTGCCTCATCCCAATTCGGATCGAAATCTTTGTCAGCAAACGGGTAGTGATGCAGGCCCATCGGTTCATTCGAACGAGAGTGAGAATCGGTTCATGCTCATCCCTCCCCGTCCGATCATGGGAATCAGTATGAGCAGCACACTACCGCGAGGAATAAGACGCAAAAGCGCCTCACCAGCACCGTTCGGAAGCACATCCACAGTGTTATCCGTGCTAAGTTTTGGCTCAATGGAACTTGCCGAACAGTTGACTTATTTGGAAGCGGAAAAATATTACCAGATCAAGGTATGTTTTTGTGGTTTCTTTGTTTCTCCTAGTGTAATTCGTAATGTAATTGAATTCGTCGACGTATCTCCCCGCACATTCTCTCCGCCATCATACTGTCCTAATATGTTGGATGCACTCGAGATGTAATGCACGACTCAGTTTATCTCCTTGCGCGGTATCGACCCTTAAATTCTCAAAACTCCGAAAGTGAAATGTTTTGTAACCCCGTGTTCCTCGATCTGAACCGGACGGGTTGTCCACCTCATCGATCAATCCATTGCCTCTTCTTCCACATATTTGAAAATCTGTTTTGGTGTCGTACGATCTGTAACTGTGTTTGTTTTTTTTGTCTTCCAACTGTGATTACGTTTTCGTTTTTATTTGGAAGAGCATTCATTTGTGACTGCTGTTCCAACTTCCCAGTGTCGATTTAAATCACGACCTGGTGATCAGTACCATATCTGATATTTGTATTTCATGTATTTTACGCATATGAAGGCAGAAAAAATACCCTACCCCCAACCCACTCCGAAAGGGAAATTTGATGTACCATTAGTTCACATAGTTTTCAACAATCATTCGGTTCGTTGATATGAGAATACAAACAAATAACTGCTGATCACGAGCAACGGAGATCGCATATTTCTTGCGGTTACTCGGAATTTCCACATTGATTCATCGATTCTTCATGTCCTTTTTTAAATCCCTGTTAATTTGTGAGCGACTCAGGCATTCGACAGAGACGTTTTTCAATCTGTTCAGTCTATGCATGCATAGCGTCTGTTTTCTCAATTGTGCGTGGAATTCAAATAAACCTAATGGGGTTCTATGTCTCATTCGGGTGTTGACCATAGGACTGTTCTGTATGCCCAGTCCGACGTAAGTGACATCACGTTACCATTCCAAGCCTAGGTTTCATTCGCGGTTAGTTTGGAGGATGTCCAAACGTTTGCTGTCGGAATATCAATCCCGCTCTTCATTCAGTTGTCGACAAAGTGTTTGTTTTAAAACTGAACAATTGTTCAATTCGTGAAACGTTGGTCAGGATGCAAAAATGATTCTGTCTCGTCAGCACCATTTTATCATCCCCCGCTTGAGGCCCTTTTGTTCAGTCTCCGGAACACACGGTTCTACTTCTATTATGAGACCATTCAAGTTTTTTGATATGCTCAGGCTGAAAATTGATGGGAGGGCGATTTATTCGACCCATGCGCTGAAACCAAACCTCAATGAATATCTTAGTCTGTCTGCTTTCGTTCGTACCCGAATAATGAAAGAAACCCCTTATGTGATGTTGCTCAGCATTGTTCCGGAACGCATGACCAACTGGCTCACCGGATGCGGAGTGTTCGAACTGGGAATGGTCGATTAAAACCGAGATCGATAGTTGTGACTCATACTATTCCACAGTAAGACTTATTCGTGTATTTTTTCCGGTCTCTTACAGATGATTACACTGGCGTTTTGGTATTATGTGGGCTCATTATTCATGATAGAAATTGATCTGGATGAGTCATAGTTCGAATTGTGTATGTGTGTGTGAAGTGTATCGATTAATAAATCTGATCATCTGCATACCGAACCTCATCTTCCAGTGTATCACAATATTTCATGAATAGAGAGGATAAGCAGGGTGGCTGCAATGAAATTTCGTGCATCAGTCCGGTTTGTTTGTGTGTGTATGTTAACGTGTGCATCGTGTTTAATTATTCGATCCGGAGGTTGTTATGCGTCCCTATCATTCACACTATGAGGCCATATATCACACTGTTTCTACTGCGATTGATCTCCTACTGACTGAGGTCACCCGGGGGTGGCGGGTTTAGTAATCCGGTTAAAATGGCTGACGAATGCTACGCGTTACCGTTGAAACGTGAAAGATGAGGTCAAGGCTTTCATGTCCTGTGAAGTGTTGCTACTACTGCTGATGATGATCCAGGGCAAGGTTATCCTCGGTCAATTTTCAGTTCAACAGTCTGTTTTTCATTATTTTGTGAGGCGAGCTATTACCGTACCTAGTTCACCTACTCCGTTTTCGATCGGATTGATAACAGGTGTTATTCTGTTGTTTACTTATTTCAACGGTCCCTGAAATAAACATATCGTGGATCCATTTATATGTCGGCCATGTAGCTCAGGCGTAAAGGTGTCTACTGCCCGACGGATATTTCGCCGTTCGAGTATCAACGAGAACGCAAATGGAACGCATGCTGGCGCGTCCCCAACAGGGACCCGACGATCTCTCAATGGGTTCAGCCCCACACCTAACACCATGCAACAGTGTCTGGTGCCCGTCAAACCGTTGAACACTATAGGTCCTATTGTGACGTCTTTTGGTCCATGTCATTTGTCATTGGGAAAGCAGCTCCTCTTGTTCAGTCTTCTCAGCAGATGAGCTCCTTTTCTACATTGAAAACGCACCTGCCATAATAGAGGCAGTAGTTAAAACTTAACACCGAGAATGTGGTATATAAACCCAAGGAGTTAGAGCGTATCGGATTTCGCTATTAAAAATTCCATCTTTGTTGCGAATAGTGTAAATAAGGCAATAGTAATTTAACTGTCCTGTAATTGTTCGTGTCGCATCGGGAAGATTTCTCTCCGAGAAGCCGTTCAGCTGTCAGTTATCCGGTGCCAATTGGTCGTCCAGATCTGCAACAAAGACATTATCTGATTCGTTGCATCGTGAACAGACAGTTGATCAGCGGTAGCTTACATTCCTTGGGTTTTAATCACTAGGATCCTCTAATAAATTGATTAGCGAAGACCTGATTAGCAATTAATTATTTGTCATGACTATGTCATCATTGCGTACTGGAGATTTTTCTCTTCAACAGTTGCCGTTGTTCGAATAGGCGGGAATAAAAAGGAACCAGTTGTCGCACATAATGTCTCTTTCTTTTCTCGTAGTGCACTCCAACGTAGAGTCGCATTCTTCGATGTTCACCATGCACTGTTTCACGCGTTCAGTCAAGCCGTATGCTATACAATGCAGTGTTATATATTGTCTTTAGGCTGAATTTTTCTATGCAACCAAATTAATGACCTTGGCTTTGTTCGCTTCAATTAATCGATCTCCAGAATTACAAACTCATTCCATGCACATCATTGTCATACTCATATAAAATACACGCACGCACAAACACACAATTTGTATTTCGATGTGCTTGATTGATCCACCGCGTTCACATTAGCTCATTGCTTGCGCGAAAAATAGATACAAGGTGATCAACTCACGGTTTATGTGATTGATCGCATTTCCCTGACAATCAGGTGACCAGGAGACATGTGGATATCAAACAGGTGTTAAGCTCACCAAAATATGGGAAAAATCGAACTTTTTTCGGTCGAAGAAACACTACTTGTCGTCTGGTTTTGGTTGCACCTGAGTGAATGTTTTCCGGTCACAGTTTTGAAACAAGCGTAGGCTTTTGATCTTATCGATTTCCGGCTTTTCCTTGCAATCTGACTTTGATTTCCTTCTTCTTGTTTCGAATGTCTGCTGATACACGAACTAGTTTTTTTAGTCTTCTACTTTATCCGTCCACTTCCTTTGTGTCATCCTCAACATCCACTCCGTCCGTCCGCCCCTCGTCTTCTGCCGCATCGGGTTTACCTGCACGGGCAACGTCTACTAGCTCGGTGAATTATTGAACATATCTAATTTGGAACGGGGCAAAGCACCCAGTGTGGCCGATTGTGCCGTGCATTTTTCGTCCGTGTGCAACTGGACCACGTTTCAAATGTTGGCCGCAGCACCAACCGAACGGGACAAATTGGCCAATCGATTTTTGGACGTGATGGAGGCAAGTGTGTTCAAACATACGCGCATATACGTTGTTTTTGTGTGTGTTGGACGCGCGTGCTACTCGCGATTCCACATAACTAAAATATGCTTTATTCGTTTTGTTTTTTGTCGTCAATCCTCTCTTTTCGCTGCATTCACTTATGTGATAGTATCGTCGCACGCCTGCTCTCGTCCTCGGTCACGGCTTGTCACTCGAGAGAATTTGACGTGATGTTGTTTTACACCTTGCGAAGCGGGCTTCCCGCTAGCCTTATGATGTGTGTGCTCCTGACGATATCGGGCAGAAATTGGATAGAATTGTGTCATGATTCCCTTCTGTTGTGTTAGATATTTTCAGTTTTCTTCAACTCGTACTCAGTTTATGACGAGTATATTTTAGATTCGTAACTATTCCCATTGACGCATAAGAACAAAGTCGAAACGCGAAGAAATTTCTTTTCGATATCTCACTTCAAGAATTTACATATATAGTTCGATTAGTTATTAGATTAATACAAGGCCTAGGCTGATGTTGAATGAATGTCTGTGTGCAAAGTTGTCTGTTGACAACAAGCTGTGGGATCACGATAATTGGATAGGGAAAAGTGGAATGAAAAATGTGTGAACTAGAGAGGATATGAAATGTGTTAGTCCAGAGTGAATAACACAGGTGTGAACGTTTGCGAAGAAGACAGTGAATAGGGAGTGGGGGAAAACGGGAGGGAGAGGATAGAAGGTGTCACATCGAGAGATATGGGTAAATGTTATTATGGTCATGTTAACATCAGGGCCTGAACCAGATTACGTTGCTTGCACAACTTCGGCTTCATGATCCTAATTGCTATGGCTTCCGCAATTGTCAGGATCTTTCTACGTAATCCTTTGGAGTGGTTCTTAAGTGCAGTGAAGAAACTTGTAAATGATGTTTCTGGATCAATCCTGTGCCCACTGTCGACCAAATGTTGCAGGATTGAGCTGTTTAGGCTTCTCACTGTTCCTTTCTGAAAGGCCGCCGGACAGTGTTCAGATATTCTCTTAGACAAACGTCTCGTTGTGTGTCCGATATAACGAGCACCAAAAGTGCACGTGAACTGATATAGAACAAAGGATCGAGACTGATGGGGCAATTAACCTTTAAGTTGTTGAGCAATGAATGGCTTAGTCCTGGACAAGTATATTTTAATCGAAACGAGAGAGAGTGAAGGAAGACTCGAGCTGTTCAATCCATATTCCTACTGGTTTTCAAACGATTGGATGTTTCTGTCAATCGGGATTACCTGATCCCCGTTTATCTTTGCCATTGCTACTAATGTTGCGTCGTTGATCTTCACATCGCAACTCCTCATTCCACTTTGGGTTCATGTGTTGCGCCACGGATCTGTACCTCATATAGCGGGTTGTTTGTTTGTATCTGTCCTCCGTAACTCTTGTTTCCTATGAAAATAGGTAAATAATTTGTCAGTATTATTTTAATTCTTTGATCTCTCCCTTCCCATTTCATTTCACAGTGTCTGCACAAACTACAAAATTTCAGTAGTTACCTATCCATTCTGTGTGCTTTTCTGTTGGTTCCGGAAAGCTTATTCTCCCGAAGGACACGAGGTGTAAGTTTTGGTGTTCTTCACCCTGAGTTATATCTTCCTCAATTATCACTTTTTTCGTGAGCCTACTGAAGTCTATTAAGTAGCATAATTCGCACAGCAAATTACGCCTTCTATAGGCCAACACCAATCTTTTCGACTATCGCTAATTTTTTAAACACTCGTTATAACCATTCAACATTACTTGATTCTGTTTCTTTGGCTGCGTTCCGCATTTGTTTTTCCCTCAGCGTCTCAGTCGGGTGAAGCCGTACATGCAACCACCTTACTTCTCTGAATACAGGCGTGAGCTGGAAGCAGCCAAACCCCCTTTTATCCCTTACCTTGGACTAATGATGCAACATCTGATCATGCTGGCCCAAGCACATCCTTTGTGGTTTGATAAAGTACCAGAGAAACTGGTCGATTCGTATCAGGAATCTCACGGACGCATCGTCAATTTTTGGCGTTGCTGGAAGCATTTCCTTATCATACATTTCATTGTAAAGCAGGAGAATATGGATGCAGAAAAAGCGTAAGTCCTGGTGCTCGCGTATGAATCGAGTGTTGTGATCTGTTCATTTATGTACACGTCGTTTGTGCCTTCACACAATGCATCAGTGAACCAGTTGTAGCAAGATTTACTCACGGATCGATGATGTTTAGGAAGTTCTATTGCGTAGAGGATAATTATCATAATGCCCGTTGTTGCTATCTAAAAGTTTATCTAATTGACATCTTTATCATTCAATAGGTTTACAGATTCTAAAGACACCTTCTCGGCATAGGTCATGCTCGTATTGATCTTCCAAATCAGGTTAGGCCAGGTCAGCTGAATCGCACCAATCAGTTTCAGATATGAACACATGATGGGTTCCGCAGCTTAGTTGTCTCCGCTTCGTCCATTGTCATTTGGCGTTCGCATGCGATCTTTGCTATATTTGGAGGTACTCGGTATTTACTTTGCAGTATTCTGAGGAACTTCTCTCAAGCGTTACAGGTTTCGCAGCGGCTTGTCGTCGGGAATACTTGCCGTTGAATCTGGAAGTTCAGTTGTCATGTCCAAACCGTGTTAAGGAGCATGACGACTGTGTTTCTCGCGTGGTCAGTGTGGATAGAAATTTCATTTTTGGCGTGACTTGGAAGTGGAATTTTGTTAGCGTGGCTTCAGTTTTCTGCCATTTCTCGCGAATGCTGGTACGTGGGATTATGAAATTCGGTATGCGAACATACTTTTTCTCATCACCATAATGGGTTGGTATCCGGATTCACCCAGTGATTAAAGAAACTCCTGTTTTTATTCAAAGTCCACTCCCCGCATACACGTATTCCTTCCTCCCTGTTCCAGCTCTGTAAGCTCTCAACGGCTCAGCGTTCGCCTATTATCTTTGAAAAGTAATTGCGTCCGCCTTATGACTAAAGAGAAGCCATTCACAAGCCGCTCATGATGTAAAATTTTCCCACCCTCATGGCACGACTATTTCAGCCCAGTTATTTAGCTATAACTTGCACTTTTTGAACTCAGCGCCCGGGAGATGTGTCAACGTTTCCCATCTTTCAGAGCTACATTATCGGGAATTAGATCCATTTTGCTTGGTCAGAATTTCAATTTGTACACGAGACCAACATGCGCATACCAGATTTCAATTGAGAAGTGTAGCCTGAGCAGTAACCGTTAGATCATTGATATATGATATGAAAAGATGAGGAGCAGTGAATCTAATCATATTTCAATGTATTCTTCAATACGAAAGTCGCCACCGCAAACAGTGGCCCAGTAAACTCACTAGTGAATGATCGAGTCAGTTGTGCTATATTGGTGTACTGGCCGTATAAATGAGGCTATTGTAAGAAGTTCGACTTAACCGATTCAGTTCTCCTTTGTGTGGACCAGGAGTCTTGTTATGTTCTTTTATTCTTTCAACTATGTTACAACCTGACCTCCATCGATAGAAA